TGTTGGAAGTGAAATTCTGCAGTGCCAGCAGTAAGCAAGCCATGAAGGAAAGCAGTTTGTCTTTGCTGTGCCATGGACTGAATGAGGAGAGCCTTGACTGTTTTGAAAATGTTCCTGTTAACAGTTTTTCTTTTGTGTATTTGTCAGTTTATGTATTAGTTGCAGTTGTACTTTGCACAAACACTAATTAGACAGCCATCAGCACTCGGGGCCAAAGGCTTACTAACAATGCAACTGTGATAGCAGGGTCTTAATTGGTTGAGTATAATTGTCATTAGGCAACGATAAAGACATCTGGGGCTCTGGAGAGAGATCAGCCTCCCCCTCCTCCTCCTCTTCCCCAAATTTGTTCTGGCTATGGCTGTCCAACACAGTTGAGCTTTTTTCAGATGAGACTCTGTGTTTTGACCAGTTTCCTGATGTTTTTCTCCTTATGAAATCGTCTGCCTCTTCAGCACCACTTCATTAGAGCAGTGCCCAGGCTCCATCTCGGCTTCCTCCCACATGTGCTCTGCACTTCACCACCTGCTTCCCAGCCATCGTGGGACATCAGCAGCTTTTAACCTCCAGCTTTTTTCTCCTTCAGTCTTCTGCTTTCACTCATGTGAGAGGGTACGAGGAAATTGTTCATCTCATTATGACATTACTGCCAATAAAAAGTAGTTGAAATGCTTTTGATTAGTGAGTAGGTATTTTTATTATGCTACGTTTGTAGATACCATATGAGTTTAATCTATTTTTTGTGCAGTTTCTCTATACCATATGCATTCCAGCTATTGTTGCTCCATTTCAGCAAGGTTTTTATGCATATCTGTAAAGCTTAAGCTGAATTTGCAGACTCATTTTTATAGATGTATACATATCTGTCCAGAATTGCAGAACTGGCTTGTCAAGGAGTATAGTTAGAAAATTATAGCTCTTGTCTTTCTCCTGCTGCTACTTCTCACGTGTGTACACTGAAATGTTCAAAAGAACAAGAGGTGAAATGTAAGTCTATTGGAGAAGCTGAGTTACTTGGGTGCAGAGTGTCTGTTGAATGCTAAGAGGGGGATGACTGTGTCACGCAGACCACTGAAAGCCAGGCACCATGTGGATGAGATGCCTTGGGAGGCATCAGGGCAAGGAGAGGGGGAAAACCTGGGGTTGTAAGCAACAGATTTTACTTCTTACTCCCTGTTATGCTTGGGAAAGCAAGACTTTGAACAGCCTTTCTAAAGGAAGTAAATCAGGTATGGTCTTTAAAGTGGTTTGGGTTTTTTCCCTTAGAACTCGAGAACTCAGAGTTCGTATGGTTTTGGGTTATTTGGGTGGGTTCTTTTGCACAAGTGGTTTATATTAGATGTTGCTATGTTTTCCTGCAATAATCTCATTACAGAAATACCAACAGAAAGCTGTGTAGGTCTTTTATAGCCATCTTGGTAGAAAAATCAGTAAGTGGATGAGTTTGGAGGACTCTGCCTGTTTTGGGGCAGAAGGCTTGCATCTAAGGTTCTTTCATTCTTTCATTCAGTAGCTGGTAACCCAAACTAAATATTCATGGTGAAGTATAGGAGTTGCAATAGGAAATGAATAGAAACCCTGAAATTATCTAGAAATAGGTTCTGCAGAGTGCAGCATGTGCATGTTCTCCTCAGCCATCTATATTGCTGCAGCAGATTTGCCAAGTATCTGCGGTAAAGTGGCCTATTTATTTTTTTACAGCAAGGCAATGCTTTAGTAGTTTAAAAGCCTTTTGTTGTGGTTACAAATTGAAAGTGTGCTGCTCTTTACAGCAGTATTGAAAGCAGGGAGTTGAACCTTTTGAATTTTTTAGTTCTGAATTGGATTCATCTGTGTTTGAAATTCTTCCAGTTCAGTTCTGGTACAGGCCCAGTGTATGCTGGAAATGGGCATGTGGTGGTGATGGCCAACGGAGTGTTGTCAGCTGAGGAGATGGTTTATGTCTCCCATTTCCCCATGCTGGTTCTCTGCCCAAACTTAGACCTCCACTTATGTTTCCATCATGGTCTTGTAACATCTCTCCAGATCCTTCAGGTTTGCTGCGTGGGACTGATTTGCTGTCATGCTGCACTGGAAGGATAATGTGTTGTGTGAGAAACAGGGTTAGGGATACAGGAAGGATGGGGACAAAGATGCCTTGCTGCCATCCTCCCACTTCTTCCTGATGAACAGAAAGCCCTTGTCCTATCTTGAAGTGCCCTGGTGAAAGCTCTTCAGCATGTACCTATCTTTAGGTTCAAACTTAAACAGAGGAGTTTTAGGTTAGATATAAGGAAGACATTCTTTACTGTGAGGGTGGTGAGGCGCTGGAACAGGCTGTCCAAGGAAGGTGTGAATGCTCCATCCCTGACAGTGTTTAAAGCCAGGTTGGATATAGGGGCTTGGAGCAACCTGGTCTAGTGGAAGGTGTCCCTGCCTCTGGGAGGGGGTTAGAACTGGATGATCTTAAGGTCCTTTCCATCCCAAACCAGTGTGTGATTATATGATTCTATCTGTCACGGGAGACGATGAGGATGAGGAGGCAACAGGGAAGTGTGATGCAGAGCCTCTTGGTAAGCAGAGAGAGTTCTTGCATTGAACAAGGTCCCAGCACAAACACATCAAGTCAAGTTTACTTCAAACTGATAGAAACATTGGGTGGTTCATTCCAGTCTGAGCTTAGCTGTAGGAGTAGTTCAGGTTCTTCAAGAACAAAGAATGGTTCAGACTAAATTTTGACTTGGTTGAATTCAGAGCTAAAATTAATTTAAGCACTTAACTGTGGTGCTGTGATGTTGGATCTTTCATTCCAGGATTGCAGTCCATGCTATTTTCTATAGATGGTGGTGTGTCTTGAGTCCTGAATCACTTGTGTTGCATGCTAGGTACTAAAAGCAGTGCACTCAGAAAATTAGCCAGCCCTGTGTCTCTTCTCTGTTCCTGTCATTCTGTTTCTCCATCTGTTAGTTCTCTCTTTTTACATTCCTACACTGGACTATGTGAGAGTGAGTATGTGTATGCACTAGGAGGAGATGCTGTTCTTCCTTGCTTATTTAGGGATGAAAATGAATATTCTGTCAACTCTGCCAGTATTTTATGTCTCCCTTGGGACTTACTTTTCAGGGTCACTTACTGACAGGAGAATTTTGGCTTCCCCCTTGGGAGTAATCTGCTACTCTTTGCAGTTAAGAGAAGCTTGAAAACATGACCCCAACCAACTGAAACATAAAGGGAAACAAAAAGCGGCTCAAAATGAAAATGCTTCCAAATGTTACATGTGTGTCTTGTTGAAGTGGCCAGCAACAGATCTGTGTTTTATCTCTCAGTTTTAAAATATATCTGAAAGAAGCACTTTTCAGTGTTGTAAACAGATGTTGTGGATTGATCTGGACTGCTTGTTCAGTCCAACATGGAATATTTTGCTTTGGGGAAGGAAGCTTCTTTCTTCATCTATTCCTTTCAAATAGTGTTGCTGTAAATTGGAGATGAAAGCAGGATTTGAAGGGGGATTTGGGCTTATTTGCAGAAGGAGGAAAAGGGAGAAGTGCTTCCCCACCCTGTTCTCTTATTTTCTCTTACTGTGTAAAACACTGATGAGGAAGGCAGGTGAAAAGGACACAGTTCTCTCTTCCCGATTCAGTGCAGAGAATTAATGTGCATCTCTTTCTGCTTGACAGGTTTCACCACCCCCTCAGGCACTTTAATTAGTTGTATAAAGTGGAGCATTTTCACCCAGAGATGCTGGGAGTGATCTGCTCAGAGTGCCTGTAACCCGTTTTATGGTACTCCCCAGAGAACTGCGTAACCTGAGTCGAAGTCACACATCCTCCAAATAGTTATTAAGCACTTCACCTCCCTTGTAAATAACTGTTTTCTTTTTCCCCTTATAGGACAGGCAGATAGACCTTTGAGGCTCATGAGAATCATTCTTTTGAAATACTCTACCCCCCAAAAATGGGAACAGACACGAAGCTGATGGGGCAGGAAGCATCCTGCTTTTTCCTACAGAATCCAAGTCTCAGCTATAGCAGAGAAAGACACCTGAGACTGTTTGACAATGTTAATTGTCACAGTTCTGTCAAACTGAATTGTTGGACTGTTCCAAACAGCTATTGAACTATGTTCCTTGACCAGTCTTAGGGAGAGCTTCTCCTCCCTCTCCTCATATGTCCCCTATGACATAGAAGGAACAGTGTTTATGGGGGGTTTTCTTTAACAGGATCTTGTGTGCCACAGCAAAGATGACACAACCATTTCTGTGTTGCTTGCTGTGTAAAACCTTCATTCATTTAGATATATTCAGTAGTATCTGAGAAGTGTAGTTCTGTTTTTTCATGTTCTCATTGGCAAACTGATGCACACTACAGTTTTTCTGATGTTTCAGTGAGAGAGCCTTCTGCAAAGAAGGCAGCACTTTAGTAAGTGTTAATTCTGAAGACAACACTTAATAGTACTAATAAATTAATTAGTCTTCAGAGGCAAATGTAGGCAAATCTGATCTGTTGATGAGACATTAAGAAATTTCTATGAAGAGCAGTGGGTTGGATGGGTGTATGTGTGTGAATGCTTGTGTGTATGTACATAAATGCTCTGATTAAACAGCCTTTCCTTGGCACAACCACAATCACAGATTTTTAAAGACCAAAAAGAAGCAGTTTGAAGTTTTGCCATGATGTAATTTAGACTCGTTACTTGATTGCCTTTTCCCCCTTGAGCACAGCTCTACTTGCATTCTGGTTGTAAAGCTAATACTGATGGTTGGTAACCTGTGGTAGCTCAGTCGTGTCATTCTTGTAGCTCCATTTTACTGTCTAAGTAGACTTATGTTACGTTTAGTAAATGGGAATAAAATGAGCGAAGTTGATGGGCTTGTGCACAGAGTGTTTGTGTAAACAGGAGGAGGATCACTCTAGGAGCCATAAATGGTGTTGGATTTTAAGATGCTTTTTGTTTGTTCCTCCCTTCTCCTGTACTTACTTCTTTTCAGATGTTTGGGGATGAACAATAGCCTTCTTTTCCAGATACACATCAGGAGAAGTGAGGTTGTGGGACACTCGCACCTGGGACTACACAGCCCCCATCCTGGAACCAGTGCATAGTCCTGGTGATGCTGGACCTCGGCCACATGTCTCCTTTGTGAGGATAAACAGCTCCCTGGCTGTAGCAGCTTACGAGGATGGTAAGTAACCACAACTCTCCTCCCTGTTGGAAAAAAAAGGGCTTTACAAAAATGAAGCAGCTGTGCTCAGCTTTTTGTGTGTCTGTAATCCTGTATCCACACACACACACACACACACACACTTGCTTTTATGTGAGAAAGTTGGCCAATAACCCTAAATGCATTAGGAGGCATTGGAACATAGCACCCATTAAAACTGATGTTTAATTCCTACTGGAACTGCTAGACAAAGCTGGAGTGCCAGGCTGTAGTCCAGCCAAACTATCTTAAGCAAATAACTTGTTTTGCTATAAAAATATTAAATATTCTTCCACCAGCTTTTTCCGCTGTCCAAAACTCCCTTGGGATGCTGTGGAGCTTTGTGATGGGAATACTGGTAAACTTGCTTGTGATTAATCTGCATCCTCTCTTGGCGAGCGTATGGATGCATATTTTCTTCACTGAAGTATTGGTTTGCAGTGGTGGGTTTATTACATACTTTGACCTAATATTTAATGAAACCCTAATAAAACCTGTGTTTTAAATATACTTAGATGTTTGTATAATGGGCAACAAGAGACCAACTGGACGTGGGAACAGCAATTATAAAAGTCAGGGTTGGACAGTGCTGGCCAGTTGGGATCCTAGGCTGACTTGCTCACAGAACTCAGTTCTTATCATCTGTCTTTAAAATGTATGGCTTGACACTTGAAAACCTCTCCTTGGGTATGAATAAAGAGTATTTGGAAAGTCAGGGTGCTTTGTACACCTGTTATCTTTGATCCTGGCATGTCTGCATGTGAAAACAAAACCAAAGATGGCTAATCCCAATTAAACCTCTAATGTCCATGGTTTATTTTAGAAGTAAAGTTAATGCTTTTATGTGAAAACAACTGTTTTGAGATGATCAACATCCTTGGCTGTTTTTCTAGCGTGGCTCATGCTGTAATGGTTTTCTGTGGCTAAAAATTGTTGATGGGCAACATATTCTGCCAACAGCAAGTCTGGTATTACAGAATACTCATTAATATTATTTACTCAAGTAATAGGAAATTATAACAGTGATAGTTTTAAGTGTTGGCTTTTTGTCCAATGTGCCAAACAATGAGGTTCTTTTGTTTGTTTTCTAGTCTCCCACTGACTAATCTAATAATTTGTCCGGGGTTTTTATCTGTCATATTCCTTGTTGTCAGTGCTGGGTGTGCTGTGACTAAACTAGTTTGCATAAAGCTCAGTGCCTTTTTATTCTTTTGGGCAGAAATTTTAATGGGCTCTGTGATATGGCAGTTACTCTGACTTGAGAAGCCTGGTCAGAATAGATTAGTTTCTCTGCGAATAGGGAATTATAAAGGCTGGTTTTAGAAATTTGACTAACTGGAATCTGAAGGTGTGTATTTACACTTTGGAGGAGAGAATGATTTTCAACTTGGGGAGGGAGAGGATGACTTTGAAGATAATGTGTTTGATTGTTCTTTGTTGTACTTTTCCAGCTCCCTTTTCTCTTTGTTTGTAAGTTTGACTAACACAGAGAAACCATCTGCTAGTGTTGGAGGTGGTGCTGTCAGGCAAAGAGTCTAGACTTCTCTGTCGAATCCCTGGCTCGCAGACTCGCTCAGATAACATCAGTTTCTCCCAGTTCAACAGAGCTCACGCAGCGATGTCCTTGGCATCCGATCACAGGGAAGAGCTAACAGGCAGATTCTGCTCGCGCCGTGCCTGCCTTACAGCACTCTTCTGCCGGTTCCGTGGCAGCAAACGCTTCCCAAGGCAGATGAAATATAGCAAGGAGAAAGGTTTGTCTTCCTGGGATGCCTGCATCCAAAGTGAATTGTAACTCCATGATGGTACTAAAGCAAAATTGAATTGTGACGTCTGGTGAGTGTTTCCAGTGGCGTCAGCCTCTGAGAAACAAGCTGCAAGGAGAGGTAAATGAGAGAGAAATGTATGGGGGGAAAATGAAGTTCCCTTCACCTATGCCAGTGCTCAGTGGGGGCACTGTATGTACACCTGGGGCAACGGGACTTGGCAACTTGATCCACAGTTGTGATTTTTGAATTCCAACCCACTGGCCTCATATTTCTTCTGCCTTGTTTCCTATTGTCAGCACTGGCAGTGCTCCAGTTTGATTTTACCACTAATTGTGTTGCACGTTACCGAACTGAAATGAATCAAATCAAAATGCTTTTCCTGGAGCATTAGATAAAGCCGGCGAGGGTTCTGGGTAATGAGCAGATGCTGCTAATGCAGGGACAGTAGAGGCCTTGCCAGGACTCCATCTGCTCCATGCTTGCCTGACTTTGGCTGGGAGCCACAGCTTTTGGGAAACAGCAGTCTACTTCAGCCATCACTCTCCCCCCTGTCCTCGGAGTCTCATAGTTGACTTGAAAACAATGTGCTGCAACAAGAGAACATACTTTGGGCTCTTTTTCTCTTTCTTAAATGCCATGCTTCATACACATGTAGACATGGCAGGGAGATGCTGAGCTGCTGCCCTTCTTGGTAAAGCTTTGAGATCCCTTGGGAGGAGTTCATTGTATTTCACAAGTTGCAGAGGAGCAACATGAAGCAAAGGAAGGTGGTTTCTGCAGGGATCAGAAATGCTGTTCCTTGTTGGCAGGCTCCAGGAAGGGAATTTTGGCAGTGTTACTTTCTGGGACTGGAAATCTGCTTTCTTGTCCATTCTGATGCCCTTAAAGCTGCTCACAGGTATTGTCCCTTCTGTACCCTCTCTGCAAAGATAGAAATGGAGTACTGCATTTGGTGCCTTCTCCTAAGTGCCAGGATATGCTGTAGGATAGCAGGGAAACAGGCTGGCTCGGAGAAAGGGAAAAGTTTTTGAAGAAAGTAGTATATTTATTCCCATCAAATATGTGCAGGTGGGTTTGGATGCAGAACTCCTGGTTTGGGTAGGTGGCATGCATTTCACATCAGGTCAGGGACTTCTGCCTCTGGAGCGTCCAAGTTGGGAAGGAAATACAGACTTTCTTGTATACGCCTTTCCTGAGGGACTGTAGAGGGATGGTGTCACTTGGAAAGCTCTGTAAGAGTAGTGGAGATAAAAGCTGACAACATTTGGTGGAAGCTGATGTGGTTATGGTAAGGTAAAGGCACACCTCATGGCTGAGGTCTGGTGTCCCGCTGTTGAGTACAGTAAGTAGCTTGTTGGGTCTGCTGAAAGTAGAGAAATGGCCTTGCAGTGCTCCTTTCCACCTGAGTATTGCATCTACTGTTTGTACTCCAAAGGAGTATGATGTTATCTGGAATTTATGAGGAAATAGATTAATGTTCCCAACTGGAAGAAAAGAATACATGTAAGAGGTGTTTTCAGGAGGTGAAAGAGTTCTGTTTTGTTTAAATCAAGATGAAGGGGCAAGACTGCTACTCATAAACAGGAAAAACATCATGTAGATGGATGGCAGCTCTGTCCTTACCACACAATGCTGTTCAGAAGCTGAAGTGAATGACCATGAAACCATGAGTATGTTCAGATTCCCTGCTCTAGCATATACAAAATTCTGTCTTTTGCCTTTTCTTTTCCCCCATCCCTAGATAAAGCACTCGTAGGTTGCTTTATATCTTTTCTAAAGCTGACAGCAACTGCTAGCCCTGTCGTCTTTATGTGGAAGAGCTGATGTAATGGGTCATTAGGAGCTGTGTGTAGGATCTTCCACACCTAAGCACAGCCCTCCCTCCACTTAGCCAGGTTTGCTGTTGGCAGGTAGCACAAGCAGGCGGCCGTGCTCTGCTGTGATGTGCTGTATGACACTGGCAAACACAACCAATATAGTATTTACCAATGTGATTTAACATGTGATTCACAAATGTGATTTAACATGTGATTTTGCCCAGAGAAGCTGTGGCTGCCCCATCCCTGGCAGTGTTCAAGGCCAGGTTGGACACAGGGGCTTGGAGCAACCTGCTCTAGTGGAAGGTGTCCCTGCCCGTGGCAGGGAGTTGGGACTGGATGAGCTTTAAGGTCCCTTCCAACCCAAACCAGTCTATGATCCTATGAATGTTTTTTTGCCTGTGTTTATGTTGCTTTTCCCTGTTACAGGATTAAAGTATCTTACAGGAAAAGAGATACTGGTGGCAGAAGTGTTGCCTTTTATACCAGAGAGAAACGTATTTGAAAACAAATGTAAAACTCAGCTGCTCTTGCAGGATGTCTTTTGTGCTTCCAGCTGCAAAGAGGGGAATAACTAGAGACAGGCACTGTAATGGAGAACAGCTTCCAGCCTTTCACATTTGATCCAGCAAGAGATGTGTAATACTGGCTGATGCTTACTAAAACTGGAGTACAGTCAGGATCTGTGGTGCACCGTGTAAGGGACAGTAGTCTTACAATTAAATGTTTAATGCAAATACTTGCCCATTGAGAGTGAATTGCAATAAATGGACCTTTCATCAGGCCACATTTCAACAATATATTGGGTTAGAAGAATTCTATGTACAACCTTGGCTGAACTGATAGATGAGACGGCTGGTACAGTGATCGTAGTGTGAAGTGTCAGCAATTGCAGCATCTTCATCAGCTTCTTGCACTTAACTAGTTTCCTTGAGCCAAAATGAAATACAAGCAAGCAAGAGTTTGAGGAGTTATTGTTAGAGTTCAATTGGAATAACCACAATTGTGGTGCAGATTTCAGCATGCTGAGAAAGTGTTGCTTATAGTTTGGAGTTAATGGCTTTCTAATACTGTTCAGAATAGATAAGTAAAACCAAAAAACGTACTGAAGATACTATATGCTTGTAACCTGAACTTCACCTTAGCAAAGATACTGCTTTGGAAATGAAGTGCTGGTCACTGCTGGAGGCAGGAAGATAGACTCTTTAAAGTAGTGATCTCATCTGCACTGGTAAATCTTATGCCTAATATTTTTTATGTTGCTATACTAATAACTAACTGTAATGGTGGCCTTTTTATTCTGCTCTTACACAAGCATGATTGACTGCTGCGAAGGCTTGCATGCTAATAAATACATCTTGCTGTTTCTGCAATGAAATACAGAGTATTCTGAGGAGCACTTGTAGACTCAGTAGTAGCTTTACCTATTGATAAAAAGAGTGGGGTGTTTGCTTCTGTGCAAAACTTCATCATGTTTTCCTGCCTTCATACATGAATGCATACACCTATTTGACAATAGTGCCTTTCCACAGAAGGTCCTTGCATGCAGTAGGTGAAGCTTCCAACTGGTAGCAAGCAGGAGATGATGGAGGATGTATGTACAGAATCATACACTCTTTTGGAGGAGGGAAGAAGCAAGGGGGGCAACCAATACCTTTGTAAGCAAATAGTTGTTCATCCTAATGAGAGAAAATGGTCTTTCTTTCACTCTTTGCATTCCTGAACAGTCCTTTTTTACTCCTTATATTGTGCTCCTTCATTAAACAGATGTTAACTTGTGTCCTGACAAGTCGCTTGGGGTTTTTGATGTTATCAAGGGTGTTTTCACACCACATTGTCAATCTGTGTTTGCCTGATAGAATTTTTAGATCTTCTGGGTAGATTTTGCTATGGAACATCATAATAGTGGCTTTCTTGCCCAATTCTAGAGAGCAGAACTCTGAATTCTGGGTTTCCCAGTTTGCTCGTGTGGTTAGAAGAGGGTTCTTTGACTTGAGTATTTTGGAGCATTTTGCAGAACTTTCACATGTTAATACACTGCTAAAACCAGCAAAATGCTCATCACTTGGATTTTCAAACAAAAGACTTCACTGAAAGCAAATCACCTTCCTTCTTCCCCCTTCACAAAAGTGGCCTTTAATTGGCTTAAATGTTCTGCAAAACAAGTTGGGAATACGGAGTAGCTTGGCAACAATATTCCTCATCTGATAAAGAGGTCCAGTTCTAACACCCATGATCCGCAATCATTACAGTCTTTTATGATGAATAGTTTTTTGCTTGCTTGTTTGAATCAGCTGTGCTGGAGGTGAGACTTCGCCCATTCCCTTTGTCTCAGCTTGGAGCCAAGGACTCACTGTGGAGGCACAAAGCAACCAGGCTGCAGAGGGAATCCGAGCTTGTACTGTCCATTTGTATTGGTTAACTTGTGTTAAGCTTAAGTGTGTGTGATATGAGCTAGCATTCTGTTTTTCCAAACCAGTTCAGCAGTTATTTACCTTTCAAGCAATTAACATAATTACCATTATGCTAAGAAGTAATTTTGGGAAGTTCTGCTCTGAGCCCTTATGACTCCATCGGGACAGTTTTAGTCGGGACTTATCTTTTTGATGGAAGCCTAATTGCAGTTTTGGCTTTGTGTGAACAAACAGAGGCAGCTAATTGTTTAGGCAAATAGCAGATTAATTTAAATATTCATCCCTAATAAAACAAAAATGGTCCCCATTATGGTCCTCATTCCCATGGCGAGGAATATAAATATTCAGTGGGAGTGCCATTAGACAGGGATCTTAAGGATTATCTGCATTATTTCACATTGGTAGCACTTTCCAGATACCAAATAATCTTTACAAAAGCTAACATAAATCAATTTAAACTCATTTAGCTACCATTTCACTATGTGCAGTTTCATTACCACACTCTTGCTTCACCTCCTTTGGGACGTAGCAGGAGTGTTTGCAAACTGGCACTGGTGCCCATCCACAGCTGTCTGTCAGAGCTTTTATGTCTCCTTCTGAAGGAATAGCTATCATTAATCATTTCATCATTAATGGCTCAAGTAGAAGGAAGGCTTCTGCAGCCGTGTCTATCACATCTGAAGATTGCTTCTCTGTTAATTCAGTGCAAAGGTGGCCCAGAAGTCTCCAATCCAGTCTGGCCTTTCTGGTCTGTAATATGCTCCCGATTGCTTCAGGTTGCTCTTACTCAGATTATTGCTTTAATGTACCACACTTTTAAATCAAGTATTGGTGATCTATGCCATTGAAAAAGTGCAATTGCAAATGTTTTGTCTTTCAACTCACAGTCCTGTATTCCTTGGGATTTGTATTCTTTAGCTTTTTGGACACTTCTGCATTTTCTGTTTTCCCAGAGCGTCAGGATCAGGAGCTGGTTGTAAACTGTTAAGAATGGTATTAAAATCCCTGACCTGATTGCTGTGTGTGCAGAGCTTCAGATTGTTCACTTAAAAACTCCTCTGTTTGCAGCAGGGTGACTTCAGTTTGAACGTGGGTTCTTCCTCACTATTTTTAGTGAACATGGAGGGCAAATCTATAGTAGAACAAGAATTTAGGTATCTGTTTAAGTCTGATCTTCTCCAAACATGAGAATGTGGGAGAGGTCAAGCAGTCTTCTTCAAAATAGATACCAATGTTAACTGAGAGTCAAAAATTAGGAATTATTTAGAGAGCAACAGAGCCTTTAATGCCAGAGCATGTCATTTTGGAAAGTTTCCTCTGAACCTGTTACATGGTGCTGTGCAGCATCATGAAATTCTGGTTTCCTGCCCTACAGTCTCTTTTCTGTATATTAACTTTTTCCATAAAGAATGCTTTTAAGCTTACATCTTTCAATGCTCTTGTAAAGTTCTGTTAAATTCTAAGATAACACAGTGATTATCTTTTGTACACAGGGACAATTAGCATTTGGAACCTGATGTTCGGGCGGGAGCCAATCCATCATTACCAGCACAATCAGAGGATACAGGCTTTAGCTCTTGGTTCAGAGGGTGCAGTGGTAGCAACGGCATCTGGCTTCGAGGTCAAAGTGGAAAGCCCTGATGACAGAGGATTCTGGCAAACCACAGCAACATTTGACATCCAGAAATTGGTGAGTCTCCAGCTTCATTCCAGGAGCTCCTAATGCACTCATTATTTTTGGTACAGTTGAGCGGGATCTTATGAAAATCTTACAAGAACTAGGTGACAGCATTATCAGCTAGAGGTTATGATTTTGAAGCAGGTTAATGGATGAGCCTTTCATCACTGAAGAGCAAGGGTGAAATGCTGGCTGAAGCTACAAGTGAAAATGAATAGAAGTCCATATGGTGCAGGAGGTTGGCTGTTTTTAATTATTTTTTTTTTTTTGTCAACATTAAACTAAGTTGGCTCATTTTGCAAATCAGTTTTCTCGCGTAGAATTGGAGCTAAAACTCGAGGTCTCATTCCAGATCAACGCGCTCTGATTAATTCTGAGGCAGGATATTGCAGACGAGCTAATAGCATCACTTGTGAAGCTGTAACTAGTTGTGCAGCTTCTTTAGGTTGCACCTTCTGTCACTCAAGTTTTGAGACTTATTTTAATTAACACTCAGAAGCCGTCCCATTCTCTGAAGTTTGATTATGTCTCAGAGCATCCACATTGCTTTGAAAGGGGAAGGAAGTGTGTAGGAATAAATTGGCAAGACAGCTTCTCTCCTACTGCAGGAAGCTGACTGCACAGCTAATGGGTATGAAGTTGTGATTTAAGCCACGTCTGACTAATCCTCAAACTTAAGTCAGTCTTACAAGACTTAAATCAACAAAATCCCCAACCCTTTAAAGAGGTTTCACAGTAACGGTGTTAGAACACCACCATGCACTCCACTGTAGTTGGATCCATTTTACTCTTGCATCTTGCTTGCTGTGAAACGTTAGTTTGCCACGTGTGAAAGGCATTCAGGACACCACACTCTCTTCTACCCCTCCCGTAGTGAGACTTTCCAGCTCTGTCTTAGCCATTGACTGAAATGGGAAAAGCAATTCTGGTCATGTGACAGAAAAGAGGGAGCTGATATTTGGGCTGTTCCTAGAGTCCTGTGATGACTTTTCTGTTAATCTAGGTTATATAGACATGATTGCAGGGAAAGCATCCATTATATTCAAGGCCAGGTTGGACAGGGCTTGAGCAACATGGTCTAGTAGAAGGTGTCCCTGCCCATGGCAGGGGGGTTGGAGCTTTCAGGTCCCTTCAACCCAAACTACTCTATAGCTCCATGTTAGTTCCATGCATGTGTTGTCTCTTCTGGAGCGCTATATTTATTTTCTAGCCATGGTATTTTCTTCGTGTGTTTTAACCTTATGTCTCTCTGTCATTCATCTGAATGAGTCCATTAAGTGTTGTTCCTTTCTTGGATGTGACATTTTGGTGTGTTCTGTTGTAATATATTCTGATAAGTTATTTAAATGGACTAATTCTAAAGATTGAGGCTCATTTCATCACAGGAGCTAAACTTGAAAAGTTCAGAAAAAATTGGTACTTGGTCTTTGTCTGAAATTAGTCCATAGAACCATAGAATCATCGAATGGTTCAAGATAGCAACAGTCACTTCAGCAGTTTGTTCAGTTTAGCGTGTGGCAGTAGTGATGTAAAAGGAAGTTTTGGCTTAATAAAAATTAAGTCTGCTCTTTTTAGGTCAACTTCCTTAATCTGGTTCCAGATGTTGTGGGAAATCCAGTGACAGTAGCAGCTGCAGAAGACATTGTCTATCTCCTGAAAGCAGAAGATCCTGGCAAAATTCTCCATTCTGTCTATGGTCAGCCTGTGACGTGTCTCGATGTGTCTGCTCATGAAGCAGCCTTTGGGGTCAAAAACTTTGGCTGGTTATTGAATGAGCCCAACCAGGTATTTACATTTTTAGGTTAAGATTTTTTTAGACCTTCATAATTAACAAAGGAAAAAATTTATTCTGCAGACCGTTTCCTTCCCTGCTATTCAGCTTTTGACAGTAGAGGGCAGGCATTCTTTTAATGCCATGTGATGCTTCTGTTAGTGTTCTTATAGTGGGCTAGAGGAAAGAAACTGGTTCACAGTGAATACTTTGCATTCTGTGCTCCTCAGTGAGTGTCAGCTCATTTATGCTGCCACAGTGGCCTTGTAGGGGAAACGCATCTCAAAAAAAACCCCAAAACCTAAAAACCCAGCCCAAAAAACCCAAACATCCCTCAACCTTTCTGATGAGGACATCCTGAGCTGTTTGCATATACAGCTTTGTACATGCAAATGTGAAATATTTGGAGGATGCTTCTGTTTTTTTAATGCACCTGAGTATTTGAACTAAGTTACTTCCAACTTGGTGAGGATGGTGCAAGTGTTGTATTAAAGGAAGCAAAATGATAATCATAGGTTTGAAGCCCCCTGTGCTGCACTATGCTGCTTTTACCAGCACATATTAGCAGTGGCAGTGTAAATCAAACCCGGACTGGTTTTGTAAACCTGCTGAAGACTTACGGCCAAGGCACACTTCTAATGCAGCTCTTGTCAAACTTCTCTGCTTGCAGGAGGGGCTCTTTTGGGCTTGCAAACACAAATAGGTAGCATAAATAATTGTATTTTTGGGGGCTCAGAATCCTACCTGAAATCCCAGGTAGCTGGTGGCAGCAGCCTGGACACAGCCTCACTCCATTGCTGGGACCAAACTGCAGAAAGACCTCTTCCCAGATGCCTTGAGAAGAGTTTCTGTCCCTTTCCTACATCTTGCCTAACTTCTCCGCTCCTTTATTTCACTCCGGTGTTTGTGGTTTCACTTTAGGCATGTGAGGGAAGGAGACTGCTTCAGGCAGGTGGAGAGAGAAGCAGGAGGTGAGCACCCAGGTGAAAGGAGCTGTGGTCTGTTAGTGTAACAATGCAGTGTTTTCTTTGGCAAGCAGCTAGAAAGCTTTATTTAAGAGTACCTCTGTGCTAGGAATAAATGCATCCAGCTGCATCTAATTCCCCCTTAAAACTCGTGTTCACTGGGGAAATGCCGAGGCCACCATAAATACCTTTAGGGTTGAGAGATGCTGTGAGGCCATGCTGTCTTTATTAATTCCTTTGCTGTCCTAATCCAGTTCTTCTCCCTACAGAGGTGGGAGGTTAGAAGGTAAAATTGCCTCATTCAGGGGCATTACCTCCGTGATTGCCTTTGGTGCCTCATAAAGGAATAGAGAAATCTAGTTAGGCCCCCGAGCAGCACTCAGTAAAGCCGGACATATTTCCTAATTTACTTCTGAACTCTTTGGTGTTTGCTGGCAGATTGTATTAAGCAGAGCAGCAGTGTGCATCCTAATCAGGGACATGGGACCGAGGTGGCCGGGCTGTGTGTGACAAGGACACTCACTTGGCATTGCTGCACCAGCTGACATCACACTGGAAATTAATTACTAATGTCTATTGTGATAATTCTCTGCCTCACGCAGACGTGAAGGGACTTCACATTGGCTCATTACACCGGTCACCAGTTGACAGTGTGGCTTTAGGAGAGCTTTCCCTCTTGGAAATGGAGTGGTGAAGAATTCCAGCCCTGTTTTACTGCTAGCTGGGTTGCTGCTGCTTCTCAGTTTGGGTTTTTCTTTGGTTTTCCTGAGGAATATATTTTTGCTGTAGTGTAAGCTCACAATCCTAATGCTACTGCCTGATAACCTGCTTTCTGATCAAAATATAGTTAGGAAAACCACCTTTCCTCCCTCCCCCTTTTTTTAATCATTGTCTAATTTTAACCAACTTGACAGCAGAGGAGAGATCTGAGGCATAAGTTTTGTAAGAACTTTTATGTTGGAGAGGAGAAAAACATCAAGTCTCTGGCATAGTCTTGCCTGCTGTTAGGTGACAGGCACACGTGCAGGAATGAGGGGAGAATAGAAATGCTTCATTTGTGAGGAGTCCAGCTTTCATTTTATTAAGCATCAGACAACCCAGGTATGATGCTGTTTCTTGAAAGATTATCTGTTTAGTGCTCCTGGAGCATTTTGTTTTATGTTAAGCTAAGAGAAATTGCTTTGGTGAAGGCTGTTTCAGCTGTATGAACCCCACATGGAATGTACTCTCTTCCTTAGTTCCAAATTCTTGAAATACTGAGATCTGTGTTTCCCATAGAGGCTTATACATGGCTAATGACATAGATCTGTTAATGAACCACTAGCCCTGGCTTTCCCTGTCAAGCTTAAGTGATGCTAATGACATCCACTGGATATGCCTTGAAGGACGGTATCTAGCAAATAACATATTACCCTGTGTCATGCAGTTTGGAGACCCAGGATCTCAATGCTGCAGCAGCATCCCAAAGTCTTGCCATTCACGTGTTTGAATTTTGGGTCTGAGCATTGTATCTAAAATGAAATGCACAGATTTAATCTAGAGTTGGCTTTGGTCCTCTTCATGTCAGGATAGAAACCTCCTCGACAGGTAGCACTCTAACTGTCAGGGTTAACATCATCTGATTTCTGATGCAATTATCTCACTGATTGTAGGATGTGAGTGAATCTTTTCTCATAGTTGGTATATTTATAAGCTTCCCTGAGTGGACCATCTGCTTTAAGTAAGTCCAGTCTCCTACTGTAGCTTCAGGTGAGCTTTTCTGCTTGTGGATTATTTCTCTGAAATTTGTAAGTGCTTTATTCTCTTGGGATGGGGGAACAAACCCACTTTTCTCCTGTATTTAGTTGAAATTGTTTAACATATTCAACAGTTTTTGTTGATAGAAAATAATCAACATGGGAGGATTTTAGTGGTTTTTCCACCAAACTAATCAACATGGGAGGGTTTTAGTGGTTTTTCTACCATTTTTCTAGCATGGAAGGGAATTTTTTTTTAAACTCATGCTTTTATGCTTCATAACTTTTATGTTATATGCATTATAAGGTGCAGTCCAGAGGATGTCTGTGGTTTTGGTTGCTTTGTGCACAAATTTGAACCTTACTTCAGAACAGTTAGATGGGAAAGAGGAGTGAAGGGAGGATAGTCATGATTTTAGAGACTCCAGCTTAGAAACAGAAGGCTGGATATGTTGAAATGGGGTGTCTTGGGAGTTGTTTATGCTATTGCAGTTTCATCTGTGTTAAGCTGGTGACTGGCTTGTACTTGATAAATGGCATTCAACATCATTTGTCTCTTATCCTCATCAACTGATATAGTGTCTAGTTTTGCTCCTCTGTTTAATGGTTCCATAGTGTTCTTCAACTGCTTGCTAATGTGAGTGTATCCAGTAGAATTAACCACTTGAAATGGATGTTATGAATTAATAGTAAGTGGAAAAACAAATTTTAAATAATCCTTTAAATTGAGTTTTATACTCCACAGTCTCTCTTGGATGATGTAATTAGGTCAGAGCTGCTTTATATAAGCTCTTACATCTTTCTTGCACCTTATTTTAGCTAAAATCCTCCTCTTTGTCAACTAGTAAGCTTGCATTGTCTTTTCTGGTGTCATGTCTCCAGTTCTTGTTGAGTTCCAAAGACTTCACATTATTTTATCTTGATTTTTCTTATTTAAAAACTGGGTGGTTTTTCAGTTTTATTAACCACTGTGGCCCATGTGGATAGTCCTCTTTTCAATTAATTGATCTTTCTGAACTCTTGTTTTAATACCAGAAGAAGTGCAGATCTTGCTGGTGACTGAATTGGAATATATGGGACTTGCCCAGTTGTTTCCCTCTGGGGAGCTGTAGGACTGGGGAGGGTTAGCAAATTGTTGCAGGTGGAAGGTGGTTTAAATACCTTTTTCTTTATAAACTCTTTGGTACCATATGGGAGAGACAGAACTCTTTTTTCTGAGGATCTGAACTGTGTAAGTTTTGTTAAGTCAGCCACTGTAAGAAATGGAGTCTATAGACAGATCAGAAGTCCTTGCCTAAATTTTGCATGATATATGGATTAACCCCTCTCTTGCTGAAAAGTAACAACCATTCATCTTGGCTTTTTCTGCGTTTGCAAATGACCAAAATTAGTTTTTCAAGTTAAAAATAAAAGAATCGCTTTTGTACTGGCTGATGTTAAAGATGCCCCATCCCTGGCAGTGTTCAAGGCCAGGTTGGACACAGGGGCTTGGAGCAACCTGCTCTAGTGGAAGGTGTCCCTGCCCGTGGCAGGGGTTGGAACTGGGTGAGCTTTAAGGTCCCTTCAACCCAAACCATCCTATGGTACTATGTTGTGCTTTTATATTTGTATGTTTATGTGAATGCCTCAAAATTGGCACAGCTGTTTAGGTAAGTGTCTCAGGGTTTGAAAATCCAGCTGCTAGGATGTGCCGTGAGTGTTCAGGGGGATAATCAATAAAACCAAAAGAATTCATTCAGGTTTTTAAGAATTACTTTGCCTTCCTTTTCCCTGCCCTATCCTTAGGTTAGGGGAAAATGTGTTTCTGGACCAGGTCATGGTTTTTTAGTGAGTAGGTGGCTCAGTGGGCACACGTGCTGTCCTTTCATCTCTGGGTACCTGAACTCTTACATCAGCCTTCAGCCACAAGTCAAATGAGTCTGGTGACCTCATTCCAGGTCCTTGCAGACATCTGTCCACATCACAAGCCCATCAAGGCTGGCACTGTCCCGGGGGCTGGCAGCCGGGGCTGGGGCAGTGTCCAGTGCTGGAACACCAAGGGTTGCAGGTGCATTGGCAGAGTCCCACTGCCTAAGCTCGCACACTGCCTGCACAATGCTTGGCTCTGCTTCTTGCTACCAGCTTGGGGTCTCGCTTTTTAACTCCTGTCAGATGAAAACTTAGAAGGAAAAACCTACACTTGCCTTTAGCTTCATGTGTAGTTTTTACAGCAGATACATGTGGAGGGGAGGGCAGTGCGTATGGTGGCTTTTTGTGCTGCTGGATTTGCTGCAGGCTGGTTAGACCATGTTGTTTTTGCAGTCCTCTGCGTGG